TTACTGGAATTGACCCATCTTTCGCGACGGAGCAGTGGATAGCCCTATGTGCTGAGCTATTGGGAGTAGCACCTACACCAGCAGATTTACAGGCAGGTAGACTGAGGGTGAGGTGGCTGGCCGAGCACTTTGCTCATCTTCCAGATCATGCTCCAGATGAGTTGGTACAGCAGCATACCCGAGCATATATTCTGTGGCTTATTGGGGGGGTACTTCTCCCTGATAAGTCACAGAACCTGCTCAAGCTGATGTACCTGCCATTGCTGAGAGACATTGAGGAGATTAGGCAGTACAGCTGGGGTAGCGCGGCTCTAGCATGGTTGTATAGGATGCTATGTCGAGCAGCTCAGGTGGGTACGAGGGAGATTGGAGGACCACTTGTGTTGCTACAAGTCAGTAAGAATTTTATTACATGTCAATTCATATTGTATGCCATATATCAGTATTGTAATTGTGTTCAAACTATTGCAGATTTGGGCATGGGAGAGATTGATTCGCATTGCCCCGTCTAGGCGGCAACCGGTTGGTCCTGGTGAGCTTCCTATGGGTGAGGGGGACATGCAGTTGCCCACCGAACCGCGATGTAGCCGGTGGAGGGTTGACATGGGCCACGAGGTCGTCTCGACCCACGTAGTGGTCGTTTATAGAGACCAGCTGGACCGGATGATCGAGGGCGAGGTATGAAATTTTTTGATTGCATTTTAGTTGTCTTCTTAATTGTTTATGTTTTGAGTTCACGAGCAAAATTTAATTTATTTGTCGTCATTGTAGTTTATCTGGCAGCCTTACGCTGGGGTCCTCGGTACGCTCCCCGACTACTGCTGACTGGGTCAGGAGATATGGATGGCGATAGTGCCACTTATTTGTTTTGACGTGGTTGAGTGGCATCTCCCCCATCGTGTCCTCCGACAGTTTGGTCGGGTGCAGTCCGTGCCGGATCGATTCGACACTGAGTGGCAGTTGCACGTCACTGATAGGCGTGGCCGAGTTGGCACTGACTGGCATCTGTTTTATATGCCCTATATACAGTTATGGGATGCCCGCCGGGACAGTATTATACAGGCTGACTATAGCGATGTGGTGATCCCCTCTTCCGACCTTTACATGTTGTGGTATCGGCGACATACACACCTACTTGTCGGGAATCCGAGCCACGTGTCTGAGTCTGGATATCAAGGAGTTGGGCCTTATCTTGAGGCATTAGTAGGTATCATATTACGTGTCAGATAATTATTAAAATCATACTTGATTTACTTTCAATCAACTGTAGCCTAATAATACGTCTGAATGTTTGTTCAGGTGGTTGGAGCTGGGAGGTCGTTTCACTTGGCTGAGGACGCCCATTTGAGACGTGATGGACAGCATGCCTTGCAGGCCGTTGCAGAGATCTGGGAGTTATTGTACCAGGCATTCCAGCTTGCCCATCGGGGAGATCGTTTGCATTACGGCCACTACGGTGTACACACTTCAGCAGCTGCTCCAGACACATCAGCGCCTTCCACTTCAGCGCATGCCACATCAGCTCCTTCGACATCATTCACCCCACCACATACTACCCCATACATATCTGCAGATTCCCTCGACGTACTTCCTACGCAGCATACTGGCATACGTTATGTGCCTGACCCTGATTGGACACCGCCCCGATACATGCATGACGTTGTTACCCCACCCACCCAGTTACCACCACCAGACAGTTTGATCGTGACCATGAGCACACATGACGCAGTTCTCACTGACATCTCCCACATTGACGCTGAGGCCCATATTGAGCCCCTCCAAGAGCGTGCGAGAGAGGCCGAGGTTTTGGTCGTGGCGGACGTCGTGGCCGAGGTCGGGGTGCGGGCAGAGGCAGAGGTCGAGCGCTAGCTGCAGATCGTAATACAGTTGCACCAGATGATGGAGTTTCACAGCTCACAGCAGTATCCAATCTTCCGCCACAAAATGGATCAGGGGCAGCACATACAGCAGAGGGGGGGTCACACTCACAGGCTCCACCGGATATGCATTAATGATTGGGAGAGCCAGATATTCAGAGAGTCTACCGCAGGAGACCGAGGAGGGAGGTCCACGGTCGGGGTTGTGGGATTGGGGCCAGGTTAGGGCATTAGCGGGTGTGATGTGGAGTGTATAGTTTATTTTATTTATAGTTTTTGTAAATCAAACTTGTACAGATGATGTAAATGTGTCATACTTATTTATTCGAAAAATATAATTTTACAATTTTTTATTCTTACTTGTTTTGATGATTTGAAAAGGAAAACGGGAAAAAAAGGATAAGAATTGATAGGATTTTATTGTTGAGCGAGATTGGAGGACCACTTGTGTTGCTATAGGTTAGTAAAAATTTTATACAAAAAAATGGGAGAAAAAAATGTAAACATTTCATAATGGATAGTTGTGGGGAGAAATATGAATAAAAAGGAAATAAAATAAATATCTAAACAAACACATAATTTTGTTTTCCCTTTTCTTTCAGTTTTCTGAATGATTGCATTCACTGTCTTCTTTTCATGTATAAACCAATGATAACAAAACAAATTGTAGACATATATATTTGTTGTTCATCTAGCTTAAACGTGTATTTCAACTATTTGTTATATGAACATGTACTTCATTAAGTCTCATTATTATATTCCACATCAATAATGCATGAAATCATGCAAGTCTAGTTCAAGTAGCGTTCTTCAAAATAACAATAATGGAGAGGAAGTAAAGGTAGAATTACAAGAACTATTCGAAAACAATTGAAATATATCCCTTCATTGATAAGTCATGGATAAGCATTAAAATTACATGCATTACAGAAATGGTTTGGGCGTTCATCCAAACAATTTCATTCATTATCATCATCATCTGACATCTCAATATCAGATTCATACATAACATCCATGCTCCAGGCGTAGTACTGGTGTGCATCATCCATTAACCCATCTTCGGCACGCTCATTTGCGGTCTTCATTAGTCCGGACCTTTGCAAACGTTGGGTCATGCGATTAACCTCGTCGCGGATACGATGCAATGCCCTTTGCAACAACTGTGGAGTGTCAGTTGGCATACGCATGGCTAACCGACGAGAAAATTTAAGATTTACTTCACGACATAGCTCAACGAGAATGTTTGCTCGAGTTTTGCGAAATTCCCACTCAGCTCTCATGGTATTGACGGTGGCACGTGAGTAACGCAAATTTGGATTTATTGGGTATTCAAATTCATCTCCATCTGCAACCCAATAGCGACCCATTACTGAATATAGATCAACCACCGTATATCTCATGATGATATCACTCGAAATACCTGTAAAACTTTTGTTGTCGTATGATGCGATATTTATACCATATATACACATGATAGCTGTATGTATGATAGCTCTATGCATCAGAGTTGTCACGTCAACTTTTATGACCTCAACAACTATGCATCAACTTGATAGGAGTTGTCACTTCGACTTTTATGAATTACATAATTTACTGTTATTCCAAAACAAAAAGTAAAAACATAAAAAAATAATAATAAAATAAAAACCAAGCTGATCAACCGACTAAACGTCTGAATTAGTCAAATTTCTTTGCCTGAAATTTTTTTAAAAAAAATAAATGTGAACTTACAATTTAAAAATCTTTAAAATATTTTTAAATTTTTGGAAATATTTATTCACAAATTTGTTTTATTTTTTAGGTATATTGACATATTTATTAATTTATTGTTATTTTGTTATGACACCCCCTCAAAATTTTAATGGATTGCATAATTCACAAGGGCACAGTAGGTATGGTACGATAATAAATTGTAGCTCGGCGCAGTGATACGTCCAACTTTTGTCAGTGATGCTCGCCAATGACTTGAACAGATGTAATAATTTGGATGCTTTGTTTTTTCCTCAAATGCTATGTGACTTTGTGCAGCGATGCATCTGACTTTGTGCAGCGATGCAGTGATGCATGTGACTTTGTACAGTGACGCATTTGACTTTGTGCAGCGATGCAGTGATGCATGTGACTTTCTGACTTTGCGACCACATGGCACATCAATACGACCACATGGCAATAGTGTTGACAAACAATTATGTGATGGACTGAAGGAGTAAAGTGTAATTTACCGAATATAAAAAGAAGCAAAAAATGCAAAGATGAGAAAATGGGATGACTGTGAAGTTCATTAATTGAAAATAAGATAAAATATAGGTTGTTTACGAATAATATTACGTTAAAACAAAGAAAATTTAAGCATTTAATTTCATTTATAATTTGTTGAAAACACCAATTTGTACTGAAATCGTCAATTCCAAGTGACTACTTATGTATTAAAAAAGTAAGCATGAAAAAATAGTTTCATGTGGCGATGTGACAACTCACTGCATATTGTTTTATTTGACAACTCACTGCTCCAATATGAAGGGATTGCATTGTCATCCTCTGGCCTACAATTATTATTTTATCTGACAACCACGTCCGTGAGTACATCACAGGTACACAAAGTCATGGGTACTCAGGATGTAATGACCCCAAAATGCGTATAAGAAATCATCTTTATTTACCTATGAGAGGATGTGTTTTAATTTAATTATATCTATTAGAATTGACGCATTATCTATTGAGTTACGGGCTTCAAATTGAAATTACCGACCTTTATGGGTTCAGAAATCAAAATTGAGTACTTGGGTATTTTAATGGGAATTTTTAGAACTATTGGGGAAAATTAATTGAAAATCTAATTTGTCTAATTCATTAATGCACGTTTAGGTGGTTAACTTTGTACTACAAATTGAAGGCCCTAGAGACTTCAGAAACCAGAACAGGAGGCATATTTATGATCAGCATAATTTTTAGAGTCACCTGGGAACTGTAATTGAAATTTAATTTTGCGCGATTCGTAAGGCCACGTTTCGTTCTCCCTATTGTGTTAAGCCGTGGGTGTGTGTTTATTTAGATATATAGATATGTTTGTGAGTGTTTGGTCTCATCATTTGGAAGCCTAAATATCTAAAAGAGAGAGAGGAAGCTCCTCTAATCAACACTCATGGGGTTTTGAAGATGCTTGAAGGGGGTGAAGAAAGAAAAAGAAGATCATCCATGGGAAGCTTGGGAGGAATTGGAGAAAGCTAGGAGAAAGACAAGGATGGAACTAGGGTATGATCATCTATCTCGAATCCTTATGTTTGAGACATCAATTTCATGAAATCATGATAATAAGGGAAGCTTTGAACCCATTTGAGTTAGGGTTTTATGTATACATATTGATTGAACCTTGATTTCCTTAGAATTTCTTGATTGAAGAAGTACAGGCATTATATTTGTGTATTTTGAGGTTATGATGGTTGATGGAGAATAATAATGTGAAATTGGCCATGTATTAAAGGGTTTTGGACTTTGATCTACATGTAATTAAGGTTTGATTTTGAAAATGAAAAGCCCCAGATTTTCAGCCATTTTCGGACAGCAATCTGCCCAGAGCCGCACGTGCGGCTCTGTTTCCCGCACGTGCGGGAGACAGCTTTGCCCAGCCAACTTTGTATAAGCATATCTTTTTCCTCGGGACTCCGTTTTGAGTGATTCTTGAGCCTAAAATCAAGCCCCGGAAGTCTAGTTTCCATTGGCAGTGGTCTCACTCCCAAATTCTAAATACAAAAATAGTTATGCCCAAATTAGTGACGACTGTTCACTTTCTGTCAACTAATTTTATACCATTTCTTCACCTAAACCATTTTCCATTGATTTCTCCTGTTTCTGTGACATGGAGTATAACTTATTAAGGAATAATGAGCATGGTACCACCATGGATAATTGATTGAATGATCAAAGAGAATAAGTAAATGAGCGAGTATAATCTCATATTATGTGTTGTGCACTGTACTTGTAGGTCGAAACGAGAACATCGTCCTATTACCACCGGGAACTGATCACTGTGAGTAGTAGTACAAAAATGTACATTTTATCTACTGTTGATAATTATTGTCACTAATGTTTTGTTCCTTGTAAGTGTTGTGAAATTATGAAAGATATAAATTGTGAAGATATGAAAGGTATAATTTGTGAACTTATGAGGCCGAGGGCCACTTTGTGAATTTGTGAACTTATGAGGCTGAGGGCCACTTTGTGAATTTGTGAACTTTTGAGGCCGAGGGCCAACTTGTGAATTCTGAAATTATGAGGCCGAGGGCCAACTTGTGAATTCTGAAATTATGAGGCCGAGGGCCAACTTGTGAATTCTGAAATTATGAGGCCGAGGGCCAACTTGTGAATTCTGAAATTATGAGGCCGAGGGCCAACTTGTGAATTCTGAAATTATGAGGCCGAGGGCCAACTTGTGAATTCTGAAATTATGAGGCCGAGGGCCAACTTGTGAATTCTGAAATTATGAGGCCGAGGGCCAACTTGTGAATTCTGAAATTATGAGGCCGAGGGCCAACTTGTGAATTCTGAAATTATGAGGCCGAGGGCCAACTTGTGAATTCTGAAATTATGAGGCCGAGGGCCAACTTGTGAATTCTGAAATTATGAGGCCGAGGGCCAACTTGTGAATTCTGAAATTATGAGGCCGAGGGCCAACTTGTGAATTCTGAAATTATGAGGCCGAGGGCCAACTTGTGAATTCTGAAATTATGAGGCCGAGGGCCAACTTGTGAATTCTGAAATTATGAGGCCGAGGGCCAACTTGTGAATTCTGAAATTATGAGGCCGAGGGCCAACTTGTGAATTCTGAAATTATGAGGCCGAGGGCCAACTTGTGAATTCTGAAATTATGAGGCCGAGGGCCAACTTGTGAATTCTGAAATTATGAGGCCGAGGGCCAACTTGTGAATTCTGAAATTATGAGGCCGAGGGCCAACTTGTGAATTCTGAAATTATGAGGCCGAGGGCCAACTTGTGAATTCTGAAATTATGAGGCCGAGGGCCAACTTGTGAATTCTGAAATTATGAGGCCGAGGGCCAACTTGTGAATTCTGAAATTATGAGGCCGAGGGCCAACTTGTGAATTCTGAAATTATGAGGCCGAGGGCCAACTTGTGAAGTATAAATCTGTAACTTGTGAATCTATGAATCTCAGAGGCCGAGGGCCAATTTGTGAAGTTATGCATCTAAGTTAAGCCAAGGGCTAATTTGTGAATGTGTGAACCCATCAGGCCAAGGGCCAACCTATGAAGTTATGAACCGACAGGACTGTTCTGAAATGTGTACAGAATCAGACTAACCACAGGATTTTTGCATTTACTTATCTAATTAGAAAAATGTGTACATTGTAAGTAAATTAAGTTAATCTTTAAATTGTTTATGTCCTACTGTTCACTGAGCTTGACTCACTTTGCCTTATGTCTGTTTCTGTAGGCACTCCACCTGGAGGTCAGTTTTAACCCATGGCATCCGTGCCACTTTTGTCAACCTCAGAGTATCCAGGCACTTAAGTGAAGGCAACCCTTTTTGCTAAACTTTTGATTTTACACTCTAATTATTTGCTTAAGGTTGATGTATATATAATTCCTTTGCCTGTCCATGTTGTTTTACGCCCAATTCTAAGGGCTGGGTCTGTATATATATATGTACATAACTAACTCTCTAGTACACGTCACTGTATATTTATTTGCCTTATGTTCTGTCTGTGATCCTGGCATGATAGTGGTCGCTCAATGGATGCAGTTCTTTTATTTATGTTAATTTATATTGGTAAATGCTTCCGTTCAGGCCCCATATGATATGTATACCAGGTTATGCGTCCGTTTCTGTGTAGGTCATGCCCAAACTTTTAGGGGCAAGTTTGGGGCGTGACACAGGATTGCATGAAATGAAAAGCTAAAAAATAATATCACGGGTATCACTTATTCCATAGTGCCCCAGCATGCATTATCGTCACTAAATCATCTGTAGTTAACCCTCAGTATGATGTCTATAAATAGTGACACCCCCAGTATGATGTTTGTTCAAGTTATAACAATAATAATATATCTATAATTGCTATTATTATTTGTTTGTTTATTTTATGAACAATGTCTTCAAGAGGTGTAGGAAGTTCACGCCGGCAAAGAAATCCGAAAGTGTGGCTGCTACCTCCATTTACTTATGACTACAAGAGCGAAAAGTACTCGAGTCCGAAGGATTATTATGCTGGTATCCGAGCAGAATGGGCGTTCAGGGTAACGGAGCAAGAAGGATTGTTTAATGATCTACGTAACTTTGGGGCACCGGTACCTCATTGTCGTTTATTGACCATGGCTAGACGAAATGTGAGTGACTATGAAAAAGTAGTTAGCAGAATTAAGAAGGAGAACAATAGAATGTTGATGCGGAGATGTCGACATTTCATGCTTCAGCTAGCCACCGAAATGGCAGAAGCAAGCAACAGAGATTTGACAGTGATTGAGCGAAATAATGTCTTAAACAATGAAAAATATCTCTTTGACTACTACATGTCAGATGAGGAATGAGAAATCAAACACCTTTGTCTTTCATATATGTTTGTATGTTGTCGCATATCTTCGTTACTGGAGTGTAAGACAATGTTGTTGTTCATCTAACGTACGGATGTATTTCAAGTATTTGTTTTATGAACTTGAAGTTTATGAAATAACTACATTTATAACAGCACATTTATTAGTTCATGACTTTCTTTATTGAATTGCAATGAGTTAATGAATGTTCTGGATTAATGAATGGATTAATGTATGTTGAATGATGTAAATACTTAAAACACATAAAACATAACAGGTAGCTCGGTGAAAAGCTTCCCTTAACTGGGGCTCGTGAAATAGGAATCCTGTACGTAAACAATTTCAATCTCCATCGGGAAAAAAGAAAGAGTCGCTTTCCAATTCTTGGAAATCCAGTCAAAATGATGACTGTGGTAAGGAATGGGGGGTTGACAGATAACTAAACTTGGGGGGCTGGACAAACAAGCTCAAAGCCAAGTGGTTGGTCCAGTTGGGGAACTAAATAAAGTTCACACAAACGAACTACCGCCTTGAACAACACATAAAACAGAACAGGTAGCTCGGTGAAAAGCTTCCCTTAACTAGGGCTCGTGAAATAGGGATCCTGTACGTAAAGAATTTCAATCTCCATCGGGAAAGAAGAAAGAGTCGCCTTCCAATTCCTGGAAGTCCAGTCAAAATAATGACTGTGGTAAGGAATGGGGGGTTGACAGATAACTAAACTTGGGGGGCTGGACAAACAAGCTCAAAGCCAAGTGGTTGGTCCAATTGGGGAACTAAATTTAAAACCCAATTGGTTTTACTTGATTTGCTTGTCAAAATCACTATTTACAATTAATTATACACAAACAGATTTACCTCAACACCAATTTGGTATATGTGGGATTCTGAATTCAGAAAGTCACATGGCAACAGTGAATTCACTGATTTACCTTACAGTGAGCATGCCCTTATTTTGTCGGTATATGCAGATGATTGTCAAGTCATGTGGCTTGGTGCATAGGCTTTGGTTTTCTCAATTTTTTGCTCGATTTTTTTATTACAATGACAACTCATTTGTAATTAATATATGTGGGATTCTCAATGCAGAAAGTCACATGGCAACAGTGAATTCACTGATTTACCTTACATTGAGCATGCCCTTATTTTGTTCGTATATGCAGAAGGATTGTCAAGTCATGTGACTTGGTGCACATGCTTTGGTTTTCTCAATTTTTTGCTCGATTTTTTTATTACAGTGACAACTCATCTCCTATTGATATATGTGGGATTCTCAATTCAGAAAGTCACATGCCAACACTGAATTCACTGATTTACGTTACAGTGAGCATGCCCTTACTTTGTCGGTATATGCAGATGGATTGTCAAGTCACGTGACTTGGTACACAGTATTTGCTTTACTCTGTTTTTTCATTCTAGTGACAACTCATACCTTGTTCGTATATGTGGGATTGTCATGTAGAGGCATCTTTCTAAAGCAGTTCATAACCAACTATATAAATGACTAAAGGTGAAGACACAACCTTACAACTCATTTCGCCTGTAGAACTTGGGCCCTTTTAAAACTTTTGGGAAGTGTATTTGAATCATGTATTATGTTTTGGGAATCTTCGGTGTTGTTGTACCTTGGTTTTGGATGAGTGAAATTTATTTAAACTTGTTGGGATTGCTCGTTCACGCTTGTTCGCGTTGAAAAGTTGTTTGGAAACTTGAAAATCATGTTCTGGGGTCGACACCAGTCTTGGTGGTGTCGACACCTTCTCTTTTGTTCGCCATAAGGGTCGACACCAAAGCTGGGAAGGGTCGACCCTTGTTCTGAATTTGCCTGCTGCATTTTGGTGTCGAAGAAAGTCACATGGCAACAGTGAATTCACTGATTTACCTTACATTGAGCATGCCCTTATTTTGTTCGTATATGCAGAAGGATTGTCAAGTCATGTGACTTGGTGCACATGCTTTGGTTTTTCAATTTTTTGCTCGATTTTTTTATTACAGTGACAACTCATCTCCTATTGATATATGTGGGATTCTCAATTCAGAAAGTCACATGCCAACACTGAATTCACTGATTTACGTTACAGTGAGCATGCCCTTACTTTGTCGGTATATGCAGATGGATTGTCAAGTCACGTGACTTGGTACACAGTATTTGCTTTACTCTGTTTTTTCATTCTAGTGACAACTCATACCTTGTTCGTATATGTGGGATTGTCATGCAGAGGCATCTTTCTAAAGCCGTTCATAACCAACTATATAAACAACTAAAGGTGAAAACACAACCTTACAACTCATTTCACCCTACGAAATTATCATTCATTTGTTTTAAAAAATTAGCATGGCTACATGGTTCATGGGAGGGAGTGGGAATCGCAGAGGTGGTAGGAACTTGCAAAGGGGTGACAGTTCACGACGAGGAGGGGGAAGACGAAGTGGCGATGCTGAAGATGAAACACCATTTCCTTTGTTAGATGTCTCTTGTGCTTATCATGATAGGTTTGGGAAGTGACATTTTGTCATGCCCAATACTATCGAGATCCATGTGGTTTGGTGGAGGATCCATCAGATAATCAAACAGGATATGGTTTAGCAAACGCTAGACTTCTGAAGTGGCCCGCACTATTTATAGAGCGAGTGCAAATGGAAAGAATTATGTCGGGAAATCGACTGAAGTTGCCACAAGCACGTTCTGTTGAGATCCAAAAGGAAGATCCTAATAATGTTGATCGACTATGTGAAAGACTACAATGTGAGATTTCTCAAATGGGCCGTAGGTTAGCCCATGATATGCAGCTACACATAGTTAAGAAGGATGCCCAGAAGAACAGAACAGAACCAAATTTTGCGGCTATCAAGGGTATCATGGAGGATCCTGAACTTGTCTCTGACGCTAAGTTTTCGGATTATTCAGACTCTGAGCCACCTGCCGATTTAAGCGCGAATAGGTGTTAATGTCTACACTTCGGCAATATTAGGTCATGCATTAATATGTAATGTCTGTGTTAGAGTAAGTGTTTCCGTAATGAGTTTGTCAGATTGTCTGGCTAATATTTGTCTGTCTAACTGTTATGTTTATCTATGTATTATGTGTTCAGTTCATGGTGTCCACAATGTATTGTTGTCCGAGAGTTATGTCTGATACACTATGTATTTTTGTGGGAGACTTATGTGTTTTTTCCTCAAGGTTTTATAAATTACATTATCACCTTCTAACCCAAAACAAAGACAACAAAAAAAAAATTTATTTAAATGAAAACGGCTTTATAAAGCCAAAACAAATTTCTGAATAACACATTCTAACCCAAAACAAAGACAAGAGAAAAAAAATAAAAAATAAAAAACTTTACGTGAAAACGGCTTTAGTAAAGCGAAAAGAAATTTATGAATTACATTATCACCTTCTAACCCAAAACAAAGACAACAGGAAAAAAAAAATTATTTACATGAAAACGGCTTTAGTAAAGCCAAAACAAATTTTCTGAATAAACACA